TGTATTTTCAATTGTATATATTTTATTTTGCATTTTAATATGTGTTAGGTTTTTTGTTCTTTTGGGTTTTTTGTTTGTTTGTTTTGGTGAGACAATAGCTTAGGGTAGCTGATCCATTTCACCATCAGCAATGGACATTAGAACAATAGTAATCTCATACTGAAAATCTGCCTGAAAACTACACAAGAAATGTCTAAAAGGAAATATTTCAAATTAAGAAATGGAGTTTTAGCTTAACTCAGTAAAGACTTTCATCGCAGCATTTCCATTCATTGCTTAGCTTACTAATAAGCCACCAGTGATTTTTCAGTTGCCTAATCATATAAACATTGTATCCAATATAAGGTCCAGTCATTAACAAAACCACACATTTTAAGTTCTAGTCTTTCTTAGGTCTACATGTTAATAGAATAACCAGTCTGTTATCTAGAATAGCTATGATCCACCAACACTTATTATTTAAATTTCTATTAAATCTAATATAATAATTCTTCTGATTTTTCAGTTGTTACTTCTTAGTTCAGGCAAGCACATTAGTCAGAGCCTGATGTAAAGAGGGATGGTCTAAGAGCTTCTTCTATGCTTTTATCAAACCTTTGTGAGAAATAGAATATTGTTGAATGTGAATTGATGCCACTTTGAGGATGGCATCTTGAATTAAGAAGCTCTCTTCATAGGACACTAGGCAAGTCTCCAGTTTTGTATAGAGTACCATGTAATGTAAGAGGGCTTCACATCTTTGAAGAATTCCCAGGATATGCCAACTTTAAACTATTGGCCTTCACTGAGAACTGCCATGAAAGAAGTGCCCTGGCTTCTCCAAGTGGTCCAGAATGCGAGTAACCAAAAAATGATACTTTGGCTAGGAGGTGTCCAGCTTTCATCATCCAAAAACCTGAACTCCCATGGACTCAAACAATAGTGAAATATATCAGCACACAACAAAAAATCCAGCCTTGGGGCAGGTTCTAGACATAGCATGTTGCCTCTCACTCTCTGGTTCTTGTGTCTTTGGTCTCTTCCCCTTAATGGCTTCATTGTCACATTGGTAGCAAGATGACCTTGCTAGTTCCAGGCTTCTCATCCAAACCTGCAACACCCAGAGGTGGAGAAGGTTCCATCTCTTCTGATGTCTCTTTAGGAGCCAGGAAGCCTTTACCATAAGCTCTCCCCTGAATTCCACTCCATCTCACCCACCCATGAAGACTTGCCCTTGTGCCATATTGTCTGGAACTGCCAAAGGGAAAGAGAATAACATGACTAGCTTCTAAATCAATGAGATTTTATCCCTTACCTAAGCATAGGTCAAGTTCACGTCAATCATGTAGGCTCAATGGATTATTCTAAGTTCTTTTTTACATAAATTCTAAGCATACTATTGGCCTGTAATTTTCTTCACAAAGAATATGAGGACCCCATTGGTACCTAGCCCCCAAAACAGAGCTGAATTAGAAGTAATCAGGACGGTGACTGGAGGAGGAGTGGTAATGCCTTGCCAAGATGAAAGCAGGATGCTCTGTGTATGTGTTCTCTCAAGTGTGACTGGGAGGAAATCTGGGAATTTTTAGAACACTGCTTTCAGGTATCTCAGTTTCCAGTAACAACATTGGCATCTGGACCTTTTTAATAGGCATTTAGTAACAGTACAAAATATTATTGCCGTGCGTGGTGGCTCACGCCTGTAATCCCAGCACTTTGGGAGGCTGAGGCAGGCAGTTCACAAGGTCAAGAGATCAAGACCATCCTGGCCAACAGGGTGAAACCCCGTCTCTACTAAAAAATACAAAAATTAGTGGGTGTGGTGGCGCGCACCTGTAGTCCCAGCTACTCGGGAGGCTGAGGCAGGAGAACTGCTTGAACCCAGGAGGCGGAGATTGCAGTGAGCCGAGACTGCGCCACTGCGCTCCAGCCTGGTGCCTGGCGACAGAGCAAGACTCTGTTTCAAAAAATATGTATATATATTATTGTTCATTTTATAGAATTTGAATAAATTCTTCTCCTCAATCCAAGACTAGATTCTGACTTTTTAAGGTGTGAGGTTTTATGGATCTTTTTTCTGTCATGTAGATATCTAAGAATTGTGTCATTTGTTTGACAAAGCAGATAGCTAATTCCTTTAGATTAAGTCATCAAAGTTGGCTATTTTAAAGTAACCTTCAATTGCTTTAATCTTCGTAACTGTTTATGCTCTACAGAAAGTTTATTTTTCTGTGGCGAAAGGAATAGAGTTTCAGGCTGATTGAGAATGATTTTTGTTTACAGTATCCCTTTATCAAATAGATAGATATTTTAAAATATCTTTAGGTTTTATTTCCCTCCACCCCAACCCAAGACATTTTGAAGGTAAAAAATCTGGCTCCCCCTTTGCCGATTCCACAAATATTTCTGTGAGTTTCTTTACAGTTTTCTTTTTTTTGAAGCTAGGTGTCCAGATATTCACTATTCATTTATTTTTTATTTATTTTATTTTATTTTATTTTATTTTTTGAGACGGAGCTTCGCTCCTGTTAACCCAGACTGGAGTGCAATGGCACCATCTCGGCTCACTGCAACCTCCGCCTCCTGGGTTCAAGCAATTCTCCTGCCTCAGCCTCCCGAGTAGCTGGGACTACAGGCATGCGCCACCATGCCCAGCTAATTTTTGTATTTTTAGTAGAGACGAGGTTTCACCATGTTGACCAGGATGGTCTTGATCTCTTGACCTTGTGATCCCCCTGCCTTGGCCTCCCAAAATGCTGGGATTACAGGCGTGAGCCACCGCGCCTGGCCTCACTATTCATTTATTAAGCACCTGCTATGTTTTGTTTTGTTTTGTTGTAGTTTTGGAGACAGAGTTTTCCTCTTGCTGCCCAGGCTGGAGTACAATGGCGTGATATCAGCTCACTGCAATCTCCACCTCCCAGGTTCAAGTAATTCTCCGGCCTCAGCCTCCCAAGTAGCTGGGATTATTGGCACCCACCACCACGCCTGGCTAATTTTTTGTATTTTTAGTAGAGACAGGATTTCACTATGTTGGCCAGGGTGGTCTAGAACCTGCTATGTTAAGTGAGATACATTTTGGAGGAAGAAAGCCAGTTAACATAGAACCAGCATGTAGTAGACTTCAGTAAACTTTCTTTTCTCTCCGCTGTGATACTCAAAGTTTTTTTGTGTGATGTTGTAGAAAGTAAGACAAATCTGCTTTAAGACAATTACAGCTAGGAATTGACTTTAACAAAAAGTTAAAATTCTAGAATAGTAGCAATTTAACGAAGTATTTTTGTAGTAGCTTCAAAATATATAACCTGGCTTATTGATGCTTCTTACTAGAAAAGTTAACCTTGAAGATGTTGCTTTCCCCAAGTACTGAAGAAGATTACTATTACCTCTTGTGGAAATAGAAAAGGAGATAGGATGGTTAAAAACTAAGTTGATTACACACGATTCATAAAGAAAGTGCTCTTTCAGTGCAGAGGGAGATCTGTATCTGAAAACCTGTAACAGAAGGTGGCACTTAGGAGTTCAAGTGAAGGTTTGCCTCATTTGTTCATCTGTTGCAGATGCCTAAGAAGAGCTAGTCTTGAATCGGCCAGATGTGGAGTTACTGGCCCCATAAGTTTTATATGCTGGTGTGCTGTTCCCTTGTTTCCACTTATAGTTACCACCTTTTTGTTTTGGGTTTGTTTTTTGATACTTTTTAAGTCTCTGTTGCGTTATGATTTCTTTTGCTCATGGAAGAAACATCGGATAATGCTGAATTTACTCTGAATTTATATCTTAGCACAATTTGCTTTCTTATAGCAAGGAGGAAAGCGAATACTTTAAGTTTTAAAATGTAGGAAGTTTACCATCTTGCAGAAAGACTGTTTCAAAGGTTCATTTGTAAGATATTTCCTTATAAAAACATTATTATTATTCAGGGGAGTTGATTCCCAGACTAGCACAAGGAGGCTTACTCAACCCATAATAAAGCTGAAAACCTACATTCAGGCAACTGTGATAGTATGATGATTTGGTAGCATAATAATAGCATAATTCACAAAGTTTATATGTAGTATGGTTATTACAGTATGGAATAGAGAACGATATTCTTGCAAATATATAGACTTCAAGCTATATTTCAGGTCAGCTAGTTTTTTGTGGACTAGCCGGGAGCCTATGTGTTACATAAAACATGATATTTATTAGCAAATATGTTCCAGGTTCCCACTTTGGATTCCAGGTGAATACCTCCCAGTCACATCCATGGCAGCCTTAGGCCAACTACCCTGAAGAAAATTAAGTAGCTCTGGAAATACTCTTGCCCTCCAGGTGCCATCTTTTGAGCAGGGTATAGGCTGGTTTTTTATATAAAAGAGAATGTTCACAAGTCAGGTGTTCATAACGCAGAGAATCCTTATATTTATATATTATGTGGCCAGGATATTTAAATTTAACTGTATTTTATTCTTAGCTGTCTCAGGTTCAAGCATGACAGCATGTTCTTTCTTTTTTTTTTTTTTTGAGACGGAGTTTCGCTCTTGTTACCCAGGCTGGAGTGCAATGGCACGATCTCGGCTCACCGCAACCTCCGCCTCCTGGGTTCAGGCAATTCTCCTGCCTCAACCTCCTGAGTAGCTGGGATTACAGGCACGCGCCACCATGCCCAGCTAATTTTTTGTATTTTTAGTAGAGACGGGGTTTCACCATGTTGACCAGCATGGTCTCGATCTCTTGACCTCGTGATCCACCCGCCTCGGCCTCCCAAAGTGCTGGGATTACAGGCGTGAGCCACCGCGCCTGGCCTGAAGCATGTTCTTATAGGCAACTTGCCGTCACCCATGTTCACTGCTGGAAAAGCTGGAAATATCCCCCTTTAAAGAATGAATCATAACCCAACTAGCTTTACAGCTGGTCTCATATAGTTAGTGCGCTGTCACTCAGCAGGATTTTTTTACTGTATGTCCCATAACATATGAATGGTAATATCTGTGGGTTATTCAAGGTACTGTATTTCCTTCTGCTTGTGGACAAGAGCTTACTTTTTGGCTGATCTCCTTTTGCAGAAGAGGCCAAGTTCCTGGTGGTGTTTGCTGGATAATTTTAAGTAACTGAGTTCATAATAACGTAATGAACCCATGGTAATGTTCCTTAACCTATAGATTGGTTTTCATAAACCAAAACAGAATAATCAATGCAGGTTGAAATAAACGTTCATTTCTTATTATACATATAACACCACACTTCCACACGTTGTCTTCCTTAATCTCCTTCATCTTTATGGAAAACCTCTTTTTTTAAACTACTCTCCATCATGTTTTCCCTTGACTCAGGACAATACCCTAGCAGCCTGCACCCATTAGAACAGGTGCCTCATTAGAAAACTGTGGTTAAATGTTGGCTAAACTCTAGCAGTGATTGCTAGGAAAGAAATCAATGTTGATGTTTAGTGAGGGCTGGACCAAAAAGCCCCTCACCTATGTTTGGTCAAGCTCTAAGCTGTAAAGATCGTCTTTTTGTAGAGGAGACATGTGGCTCACTGGAGGAGGGAACCATTTGCTTCTGCAGGGAATTGCCACAGTTCCATATTCTAAAGCATGAGTCATGGATGTCTTTGTGATTACACATCCCTCCTCACATATGAGGAATAAACTTTAGAAAAAAGGAAGTTAAGAGAAAACAGAAGTGTGAATAACTGCTAATGGTGCTCTCTCTGGCTCCATTCCGTCTGCTATTTCATGATACATAAAGGGAGTAGGTCAGAGATTCCTTTCCTGGCAAATAAGTGGCAACATATGTTTGAAACAGTGAATGGAAACTATAGGGGGAAAATGACAGGCATATGCAATAGGAAGGCAAGGGAAAATTTGTTGCCCTAATGTTAGCCACATAATTGGTATGCTTTTCTATAGCGGGGCTGTTTCATTTTAAACAGTCTGCATGCCCCATTAGTACAGCATTTCTGTGTGTGAAATGTATATATTTTCTCGGCTTTGGGGATTTTGGCTCTTTTTAAAATGAATGGTAGCCACCTTAAGCTACTGAGACTTCATACAGAGTCCTTGAAAGAAAGTTTCCCAAAAGAGAACCTAGTCAGGAAATAGGACCCTTTATTAAAGTAGTAAGAACAAAAAGGAAGGAAGAAGTTAACAACAACTATTTTGATGGGCTGAGAACAAAGGAACAGGCCCCAAATTACTATCTTCTGGAGTGCTCTTCAATAAATTATAATTCTACAGTGATAGTGTTAATGATTCATTTGTTGCCATAGCAACTGAACCTTTGTTCAGTAGAGTTTGAGATTCTACAAGCTTCCAAAGGACTAGGGTTTAATGGTTTTTGTTCCACAATATATTTATAATCAATATTACCTACTAACAAATTGAAAGCACAGTGATTTTCTTTGAAAAAATCATTTTCATAACAAATCAATGTATATATACAACGAGTGCTGAAGTCCATTTCCACTTACCTGTCATACATGGCTAATAATTAGAAAATGTATTTTAATTCGCGAAATTTAGTTGTGGCCAATTGGAGAAAAGTGCTAGAGAGAAGCATGATTTTTTTCTCAGAATAAAATTTCTTTTTATTGCTTCATTTGCTTAGAAATGACTGTGATTAAGAATATTAACAACTTTTGGCCAGGCGTGGTGGCTCACACCTGTAATCCCAGCACTTTGGGAGACAGAGGCAGGTGGATCACTTAAGGCCAGAAGTTCGAGACCAGCCTGGCTGTTAGCTATAGTGAACTCCAAGTTTCCCTTAAAAAAATCAGCATGTCAGTATGTTCAGCTCTTTTATTCTTTGTCTGTGTTAAAGTTTAACTTCCTTGTAGTTTCAGTAAACAACTTTTTCCACCAGTTCTAATCAGTAGTTCACATCAGTTCCCCTGGCCCCCGGCTCTGTACTGACTCATCCCGGTCACCTGCTTCAGTCGCCTGCTCTGGCCACCTTCTTTGACCTTGGTCACCCCTGGCTACCTGCTCTGACGGGCCTATAACCATCCTTCCCGCCAAACTATCCACCCTGCCACTCCAGCTCGGACCTCTGTTCTCTTTAAAATAGCCAATCAGGATTAGTCTAGCTTGTGCGGTCTAACCCTAGCCAATAGGGGAATGACACAGTAGTAAGGGCGACCCTCATCAGGGATGAGTACCCCTTTTCCTCCCTTGTCCACGTGTGCACTCGCCATTGTTCCATCGATGAGCCACACCCTTCTACAGAAGTAAATCGCCTTGCTGAGGAAATTTATATTGAAGTGCTACTTCTTTTGCAGCATCAAAAATTCTACTTATAACGCCGGTCAACAGAGTGAAACCCCGTCTCTACTAAAAATACAAAAATTAACCGGATGTTGTAGTATATACCTGTAATCCCAGCTACTTGGGAGGCTGAGGCAGGAGAGTCACTTGAACACAGGAGACAGAGGTTGCAGTGAGCTGAGATGGCGCCACTGCATTCCAGCTTGGCAACAAAGCGACACTCCCATCTCAAAAAAAAAAAAAAAAAAAAAAAGAATATTATCAGCTTTTATGCTTCTAAGACTTAGTAAGACTTAATTTTAGTCTTATTAAGACTTAACTTCTTAGTAAGACTTTTAAGGTTGTTGGGAAAAATCAGTTGGTGTTACCCTTGATTAGGGCCTTGACGATGAACAATATTAGCATGAAGAAAAGACAGGTAGGAGGATCATTTGAGCCTAGGAGGTTGAAGCTGCAGTGATCTGTGATCATGCCCTAGCTCTCCAGCCTGGACAACAGTGAGACTCTGTCTCAAAAAAAAAAAAAAAAGACATGGCAGAGAGAACACATGTCTAAGTTCTGTTAACAGGCCTACTGCCAATTTTTGTATACTCCACAGCTAAGAGTAGTTTTTACATTTTGGTTTATTTATTTATTTATTTATTTATTTATTTAGAGATGGAGTCTTACTCTTGCCAGGCTGGAGTGCAGAGGCATGATCTTGGCTCACTGCAACCTCTGCCTCCCAGGCTCAAGCAGTTCCCCTTCCGAGTAGCTGGGACTACAGGTGTGCACCACCATGCCCAGATAATTTTTTGTATTTTAGTAGAGACGGGTTTCACTATGTTGGCCAGGATGGTCTCAGTCTCCTGACCTCGTGATCTGCCTGCCTTGGCCTCCCAAAGTGTTGGGATTGCAGGCATGAGCCACCATGCCTGGCCTACGTTTTTAAATAGATGGGGAAAAATATCAAACGAAGATTATTGCATGATAGGTGAACATTTTATGAATTTAAATCTGAGTGTCTATAAAGTTTTATTGGAACACATCACATCCATGTGTTTACATTTTATCTTTGGCTGCTCTCCTGCTTTAAGGGCAGAGTTGAGTGTCTGCACAAAGACTACTGGTCCACAAAGCCTAAAATATTTACTACCTGGCCCTTTACAGAAAAAGTTAGCTGACTTGTTTTGTAGCTTTGACAGTAAATACATACAGTTCGAAACAAAACAAAGCAAAGAAAAACAACTAAAAGTATATCTCAACTAATTTGTGTTCATTTGCCTGACATTAAATTTCGAATTTTCTGTACTAGTTCCTTTTCAGATCTTGAGTAGTCTGTTTTCTTTAAGGATTAATATTATTGCCAAGACAATAGGATGCCTTATGATGAAGTGCTGGGGTATTGTGTATTTGAAGAGAAATCTAGGATACTGAAAGCAGAAGACCAAAATTGTGTTTTTGAGATTTGGGAAGCAATGAAGTTCTGAGCTGGTTAATTTATTATATTTTTTGCCGGGCGCGGTGGCTCAAGCCTGTAATCCCAGCACTTTGGGAGGCCGAGGCGGGTGGATCACGAGGTCAAGAGATCGAGACCATCCTGGTCAACATGGTGAAACCCCTTCTCTACTAAAAATACAAAAAAATTAGCTGGGCATGGTGGTGCGTGCCTGTAATCCCAGCTACTTAGGAGGCTGAGGCAGGAGAATTGCCTGAACCCAGGAGGCGGAGGTTGCGGTGAGCCGAGATCGTGCCATTGCACTCCAGCCTGGGTAACATGAGTGAAACTCTGTCTCAAAAAAAAAAAAAAAAAAAAAAAATTTATTATATTTTTTGTCTACCACTATCTCATATTTTACCTTGACCAGGATGGGGACATCCAGGATAGATGATGGGGATTATAAAGGGATTCTGTAAGAGAACTCCACTACACAGAACCCCCTATAGTGTGCCAAAGCTTTCTGCTTGGTAAAACAAATGACCATGAATATGCCCAGTGTACATGGCTAAATGAAGTTTTTCTTGTTTCTTGAACTTCTGACCTCAGGCGATCCACCCACCTCGGCCTCCCAAAGGGCTAGGATTACAGGAGTGAGCCACCGCGGCCAGCCTCAGTTTTTCTTGTTTCTAATCACCATGAATAATTGAGAACCAACTCTGCTAAGAAAAAATATCCTGCCTCCAATTCTGATTTCTCATAGTAATGTTACATTTAATTTTTTCACATTTTTTTTTCCTCCAGTTATCAAAATGTATTTATTTCTAAATAGGCTTATCTAAGTTATTAGACTCTCAAAGAAACTTTCAAAGCAGGCAGACTTGGTTTAAATGTAGCTTATTTGAGGATTTACATATGATACATTATTTTTGTTGCATATTGTGACATTTTCTGAGGGTTATTAGGAAAACAATATATCTTTATATTGTAGATAGCATTATTTTTAGAGCTGTGTTGCAGGTGTATGGAATGAAAGATTTCAAACAAATTGTACTATATGGAATCACACAATGCCCATGGCCTGTGTTTGCCTTGATTCTTATGCCCATTTCATGCTTTCTCATCTCTTCCATTATAAATAGAAACCTGGAAAGATCAGCTAAATAAAGATTTTGTTTTGTAGTGACAAATTTCCATCTGGAATTATGATCTGCACCCACTCACATATTAAAAATGTATGTGCAGGCCAGGTGCCACGTCTCATGCCTGTAATCCCAACACTTTGGGATGCTGAGGTGGGAGGATCACCTGAAGTCAGTAGTTCAAGACCAGCCTGGCCAATATGGTGAAACCACGTCTCTACAAAAATACAACAATTAGCCAGTCATGACAGCGGGTACCTGTAATCCCAGCTACTTAGGAGGCTGAGGCGGAAGAATTGCTTGAACCCAGGAGCCCATGGTTGCACTGAGCTGACATCAGGCCATTGCACTTCTGCCTGGGCGACAAAGTGAGACTCTATCTCAAAAAAAAAAGTGAATTTTTCACATCATCCTAGCATTGCTTTGTTTTAATAAGGCT